CCCCCCTACCACTTGCCCCCTGCTGCTATTTACCTCCTTCCCACCACAGCCTATGCTCCCCACCTGCCTCTGTCCCACTTGCCCAGCCCCTTACCCTTGTTTTGAAGCTGTCAGGCTCTGTCCACACTGTAGCCTGGAGCACAGAACATGTCCCGAACCTGGCCTCATACCAGCCATGGCAACTCCACGCTACTGTTCTGGGGCCAGGCTGGGGTCATGCTCTATGCCCTTGGCTGGAGCGTAGACAGAACCTGCTGGTGCTGGAGCAAGGGTAGGGGGCTGGGCAGGTTGGGAGAGGGGCAGGTAGGAACCAGAGGCTGTACAGGATGGGAGATGGGTGGAAGAGGCTGTGGGGGAGATGGCAACGTGCAAAGGCAGTAGAGGGGCCGGGGTGGGGAGGAGAAACCTTGTCTTGAAATCAAGCAATTATAGTAATGACAGTCTTGAAATACCTGAAGGGTGTTTGTATGGGGGATGGAGGCAGACTTTTCTCGGTAGCTGCAGGGGCAGGATAGGACAGCAAGAGAAATTTAGGTTGGAGATTAGGAATAATTTTATCACTAGGAGGTTGGTTAAGCATTTAAATAGACTATCCAGAAAGATTATGGAATCCCTGTCCACGGGCACTGTTAAGAGCATGTTAGAGAGACTGGGATGGTTTAGTCAAGGATGATTCTGTCTTGAGCAGGGAGGTGGACTACATGACCTCCTGAGGTCCCTTCCAATACTACTATTCTGTGATTCTGTGTTAAAACAATTGAACCATTTATGTGGGGGTCATTTAAATCTGTTTTAAAATCAGACTTTCTTTTGTTGTGATCATGTCCAGCTACCAGAAACTAGCCTAAAACAAGTGTATTCAGTGATCAATGTTGTATTTTAAAAATCATCTTCATGATGTGATAATTTTACTACACATTCAGAGTACTATATGCAAGATTCTGTTGGAATAGAATAATTTAAATCAATTCAATTAATAATACTTTTCTTTGAACTTAATAATGAGTTACCCTGGGGCTAGGAGTGGTAGGGAAGTTAAGTGTATTAGAGTGGTATTTTCCTCAGAGTTGGCATATCTCTCCTCCTGCAAATCAAAGAGTTGGTTCAGTGAAAAGCACTGAGCACTGAATTTGTTCACTGAAAAGCACTTTCAAAAGTACCACCTCAATCATTATTACTTAATGATTATGGTGTTCCTCTTTAAAGGCTGGTGAAATAATCCATGTGCTATAATAAAAGCACTTATCTCAGTGAGATAAGTGTTATCCAAACTCTAGCAAGTTGTAAAACCATTGGCTCTCACTAGCTAGCTATGTTTTCAAATGCTTTGTTCAGAGATCTTTTAACTGTCCCTTGCCCATCACCCATCATATTCTTGTTAGGCTACAAACAGATGTTGTTTTTAACCAGGATGTGTCCTGACACAGATAAGCCACTTAGTTGGCAGGTACAGATCTTGCCCAGGGTCGTAGTCCCACAATGTTGGGCTCCTGGTGCTCCTGGGGCTTCAGCCTTGGGACAACAGCCCTGAATATATGGCCCAGACTCAGGCCACACTTATGCAATATTGGGGAACCCACCTGAGGTTTCTGCTCAGCACTTGTAGGCATGCGTTCAGGGTCAGAACCAGGCGCATGAAACGTGTACCTTAAAAATATACCAGTTGGCATTTCTATGCATCTGCTTCCAAGTCTAATAATGCAAGTCCAAAATAAGAATGGGACATGTATTTTTAGGAATAGTAAGTATAACACTGTATTGATTAAATCTTTTTTCTTAAGTAAGCTATATTGTAAATGAAGTTATGGCTATAGAAGAAGCATTCACAACAATGACCCTGTCAGATTCCAACAAGTCTTCAAATTTTGCTAAAACCTTGTCAACAATCTCAGAACATATATAATGAAAACCTCTAACTCACAGCAGGCTGACCTGCTGTGTCAACCATGGGCCTTTTTCAGGGCCAGCACTGGCAGTCATATCTGTAAACACAGAGGGACTAACAAGAGTCAAAAAGAACTTTCTTTCCATGATTTGCACTGACTACAATGTGCTCCATCTCCATGAGACACACAGAG